ACTTTTTTGTGTTTGTTTAATTTCTCAATAATCATTTGCGTCTTTTTTATTAATTGAGCTGAAATTTGCTATATATATATATATATATATATAAAGGCTTAATAGATAGATAGATAGATAGATATAGATATATATATGTATAGATATATATCGAGAATGAAAATTGTTATGTTTGTTTTCTTTCAAATATCATGCTGAGATTTTTCAAGACTAGTTTAGGGTTGCACTATTTTAATCCATGGAAAGGAGAGAAAATTATGATACTCCTATCCTGTGCATGAACTCGTCAAGAGAGAATTTGCTTAACAATTTATATTATATTTTAGTTAATTATTATTTAAAAGAAAATGGGAATCATAAAAAGGGATATCTTAATTTTATTTGATCTTTATTTGAGAGAAATAGAGCTTGATAATAGACTCAATAAAAATCCTGTTAGAACAAGAATGGCATATAAGTATATCAGATTAAAGAAAAAATGCAATCAACTCAATAAGTGAAAATTTTGAAGAGACCTGAAGCATAGTGACATCGGTCCTAAGTTAGAACATAGAATACAATAAGGAAAACAATAGATGCTCTTTCTAAATGGTCGAAAGACAAATTATAGGTTAAAATATCTGTATGCTTCTTAAATTACCAATTTCATTGAATCTATTGGTGTTAGGATAATATTTTAAATATTAAATTCTTTTTGACAAATAAGAGAAACCAACTCCTAAACAATTTTGATAATAATGACATCATGTGAGAGTTGGAAGAAAGACTTGAGATGTTTAGCCACATATTAACAACTAGAGATGATTAGTTCCACCGGAACTATAGAAGAACGAGTAGATTCATTTAATAAGGAGTTAGTCCTGATAATAAGCCACCTACTGCACATGTTAGTAGAGTTGAAGATACTCAAGAAGATGAGTAAAAATAGGCTCATATTGTTGGTCTGTCCAATATTGGAAACAAAAGAACATGACAATCTAGTTTGTGCGATAGACAATGGAATATAAAGTATGTTAAGGAATTGTACATGTTGCACCTTCTATAACTTTGTCATCACTACACCTGTAGAAACTCGTAGAACTTATACAGTTATTGGTGTGAAAAAGCTTTCTCAACTTTCAGAAATTATTAATCTTGAATTTTGTGATTGACTTCAGCACAGCACATACTTCATTTAATGCAAAAAAAAACAAAAGAAAGACAATTATGGGCTGGAATAATTAAAGGAAGATATGAACATTGAGAAGGTGATTCTAAAAAATAATTTTTTTTTATTTTACCATTTGTTTCTAGTTTTGTGTTTGTGTTAGTTATGGACATATCTATCCTGTGTTACTTTTTCTATGCCACTATTTATAACTATTGTGCTCAGCTATGTGATGTTTTATAAGAAGTTACATGCTATTTGATGTGATTTTTTATACGAGATTGCATTGAAAGGAGCATTAGTCTTTATGATTATCTTGTTGACAGATTGTAACCAGCCGGGGGCAAATAATTTACTAATGAAGACTGTAAAATGACTGCCACGTCTGTTATTGATCATTCGCTCTTTGTTCAATTTCATAATACAAAAGTAGCAGCACGATGTATTATACATGATTATTCTATCCAATACCAAGATAAGACACCGTGTATACTATCAGTTTTTACCGAGAATAAGTGAGTTGGCGAGTTAAAGTAGCAGCACTCAAAATGTTGCTTGATCCTAGATGAGTGGGTAGTGCTTGGATGCGGAACAAGGCATAGGATTAGGTGAGGGTTCCAAAACTTTTAGCTTGTAAGTCTAGGGTTTGGATAAGAAGTAGGAATGTCAATTCGGGTCAACAGGTCCGGTTTGGGTCTGACTTGAATCGGTTCAACCCGAACACAAGCGCATAATAAATGAGTTGAAAAACTCAACCCAAATCCGACTTGACCCAGACACGGTTAACCCGAACCCTACCCATTTCACCTGCCAGGTTAATTTTTTATTAAAATTTATACTTTTAACATCATAATCCTGATGAGCAGTATAATATATCCATTCTATCAGTAAAACTCCTCAATGTAGAAACCATCCGTGAGATGTAGTCTTTTCTGATACCAAATTTATCTTTCACTAACAGGCTAAAATACCATGCAAGTGGAACTTCTACAAATGGCAGAATCAGAGAAATGTAGTTTACAAACAACAGGGAAATCAAGCATGGTCCTTAAACATTCGTTGAACTTTTACAAAGATTTGAATTTGATACTTCATCGGATACAATGCCAAAGAGTACCTTTGTTGAGAAGTAAAACCTTTTTGATTGGGCATAACTTTCAAAAAATAAGTTGGATATCAAAATCTTAAACTTCGCCACTAGGCTTTGATTTTTCTTTTTTTAATATCCGCATAACTACGCAAATTACGATAGTTCATTTGTACCATTAGAAACTATTTTTCCTTTACAACAAATGACAAATTTGTTAGAAAAAAATAAATTTGTGCATCGGGTATCATATCTTTAGTCTATTGACAGGGACCAAGCAACATTCCGAGTGCTGCTCCATATATCAATTCATGCTAAAAGATAAGCATCCAACCCTGTATCAAATGCACAAACCATAAATAAGATCCATCCAACTCACCACGCAAAAACATATTACGCTAAACATACATAATCATTATCTATCTTACTCAAACTATGGGTTTAGTTTTAAGATTCTCCACCTTTGACTCTGGCAGAGTGTCGCTTACTTTCTAAGTTACACGTACCAAAGCGTGATGCCTGACAATGACTATCTCACTTATCCTTTCCGCTTATTATTCTAGGTTTCCTACATATTACTAAAAAGACAGAAAAACTTTCTAATATTTGGCCAGGGAAGCAATCTGAATTCAATGTGAAGTAGCAATTCCAACAAGTAAGCTAGCATGGTCGACACATTAAAATAATGATGGCTTATATACCTCTTCCTGTGATCAGAGTCGAGCATAAAAATAATATAGACAGAATAGATGTTTTCTTGTTTTCATGATGTAATCATCAAGCATTAAATATAGTGATTTCAAAAGATATTCAGCTCAATTTGCTCGAAATTTTTTACAACAGTCTCAAACATGCAGAGCATTACTAGTCTTATCCAACTTCGGACCCATTTTATGAAACATTGTTATCATTCATTTTTATTTATTACTATGTATTTTGAGCAAAAAAAATTGAAACGGCCTTGCCAATTTTATATTTTTACTATTCTTTTCACTCATAATCTTTCCATACTAAGTTTAGATACTTCGCATATTGGTACTTGCTCTATCCAGTGCACAAATCACCCAAGTCAATTTTGTGTATGCTTAATTTAAATAAGTACTACTCCCTAACTTAATTGATTCAAAATAAACCCTTTCTATTTTTAACATACATTTATCTTAATATTATCATTTATGCCACTCAACTTAACTATATGAAACCTCCTTACCCGATGCTCGCATCAATATAACATAACTGATATCATCAATCATTCATGATATTGTTTCATTATATAGTATTCCTAAAGCATTTTTTAATTTTATTCACTAAAATTTAACTCTAGAATTCATGATACTTTAAATGAATTTCCCTTTTTCTGAATAATAAACTTAAAGATGCTTGAAACCATCACATCAGGGCATCATCTCATTTTTCAAAAATATTGATTGATCAATTATTAGACACATTAAGATTGCATCATATATTTGATCTTAGTTATATCAACCCTGAGCCTCTTAAGTTGTAAGTTGGTTTTTTTCATTACTCAAATTTTTATTTATCCCAGTAGAGATCTCATTTAGCAGAATAATATTATCTTGTAGTAACATAGACCAAGATACCTCACACTATATATCCTACCGTAGCTATTGATCTTAATGATATTTGTATAAAGAAACAGGATAATATATCAAGAAAAAAAATTCAATGAGTTGTGTGTTGATTCTCCCAACTTAAGATTTTAGTGAATCAAAATTTATAACATTGTATATTCTAGATGAACATTGATACATTCTTGTGATAAGTTTAAATATATTAGATCCATTATCCAAGTGAATGGAATTATTGATAAGAAAAACTTCAAGAGTTAAAGCTAAGTGGTTAAATTGAAGAAGCATTCTAGAGAACTATATGAACTTACCAGGAGATTTTTAATAAAATTATAATTAAACTAGTTTTCATAGGTGATGAGTTGGATAATATTATTAAACTTATAAAAATAACACTGTGAGAAAGTCAGACCTCAAAGAATTATTAAAATCTCACCAAGAGGGAGATGAGCACTATTTTTTAGCATTAAGTTGTTTCAAGAAATCCAGTGAAGCAAAAAAAAATAATAATAATAAATAAATAAAATAAAATGAAAACAAAAAGGATGCAAGCATTAGCTTTGGGCCTTGAAGTAAAGCAATAACTTATATAATCTATTATTTTGTTCATTGATTGTCGCATAGGAATTATCTCAAAAAATTTTATAATCATGCAAGGAAGACATTACATCATGCTCAAATGACTGATCAACAACACAATTAAAGTAAAATACTGTATAATTCTATACAGATACCTCAAGTGTTAAGCAAATAAATTCTTAGGTGCAAAATTCCATCTTGGACATACAAAAAAGTATCATTTGACTCTAGTATTAAAATCTAAAAATAAAAGACAAAAATATCCATTATCAATCAGTATTGTGTGCTCGCTTTAGTTAGCTTTTTAAATCATCAGAAGATGAAATCCAACCATAAATACCATGAAGAAATTCACAACTTTGTACAACCTTTAGATTGTGAAGCATGCCTTTCTAATTATTTCGTGCATGAGAAGAACAAAAAGATGCAACATAATTGCCAACAAATATATTGCCGATCTCCTTCAAGCATTGTTTTTTTAAATGGTATTTTAAAAATTAAGAACAGAGATAGAGCTCAAAGTCATCAAATTATCCGGTGCCTATACATAAAATATATTATACTGAAGGGAAAATACATGAAAATGAACATGACTCACAAGGTGCTTTGCAGCCAAATTCTTCTGCAGGGCTTTCATATCTCCCTGGAATCCAGAAGATGCCAATACACATTTGTCGGCTCTGCAAACCAGGTATAATGCTATCATCAATCCAAAGAAAGTGCAATAAAATTACAGGAGACTTCACAAAAACTTATGACACAATAGCATGCCCTCATGCAAAATCTTAAACCAACAAACCGTTTAACAAACTAAAATGCCTTAGAACCACCTACGTATAACATTCTCTTCGCTACAAAGATAAAAATAGAAAAAAGTATTAAAGGTTCAATAGTCTCTTCTATGTGATTCTTAAGCAAAATGTCAATTAAAACTTATATGAAATCTGCCCACCAACTATTTGCATCAACTGCTTAATTTTTCATAAACCCTAATCGAGTCAGACCATGACAAAGCTCGAGTGACAATTACGCAGAAATTTAATCAAACCAAAATTCAATTAAGAAAACTAACAAGGAACCGTGGATGCAATGAGAGGAGATGAGAGTAGAAACATGGGTAAGGGGTCGCACAGCTTGCAGATCTTAGAGTAGTCGCGTGTGTATATACTGTATCCGACGGAAAGACGGGTGTCTGCGGCCACCACACAGTAATCGGTTCCGGCGATCGCCACGCATGTACTGAAAGATTATGAAATTCAGAATAACGATCGGTTAGAAGAAGACGGTTTTAGATCGTCACAGAACGAACAAAGAACGGACTAAGGAGATTACAGAACTTTACCCTCCGTTGTTCTCGTAAACCCAGTCACCTCTCAGCGCCATCGTTAAAGCTGGAATCGGAGAAGCGGGCTGATGATTTCTGGATTTCGCTAAGAACAGATTTGCTCGTTCGTATGGTTTTTCTTCTCCTGCAAGTCGAGAGAGAAGCAAGCAGGACGGAACCAGGCAGCGTGGACAGCGGGTAAAAATGGGTTAAGAGTGACCTACTTTTAAAACAGGCTCAAGATGCAAATCAAGCAATTGTGAGGATTTTTATTCAATTAGTGAACTTAGAATCTAATAGGCAGGATCACTAAAATGGGCAATTAGATGATTGTGCAATGCTAATTGAATGATGATAATAAATTTATGGGGCAATTACATGTAGACCATCGGAAACTCTCATTCATTTTTAGCTTTCTTCTTCAAATATTAAAATTCATGATAAAACTCCAACCCATATTTTTCATTTTGATCAAATTTTCAGTAGTTTGATCGTGACACTCGTAATACACTGGTTTGGTAGTTCAAAATATTCAATTACTAAATAAACAAGTTTGAACATCTTCTTGTTTGATTCGTTTATGTTCACGAACAATATCATTTTATAGCTCGCAAACAGACTCGTTTAAAGTTCATAATTAAGATTGATTTAATATTTGTGAATAAAATCGGTTAAAGTATTGTTCAAGCTTGTGAATAAACTCAATTGAAACTTAATTTAACCTTCATTTATATTAAATAAAATTAAATTTTAATTTGTAGTGCATAAAACAAGAAAAAGACTTGTATGTTTAGTTGTTCATTTATTTTATCCATTTATATGCTTATTTTAGTTATTCATTTAATAGCTCGTTCATTTAAAAGCTCATTTATTTTTATATGCTCAACAAATAACTCATTTATAAGCTCGATAAAACTCATTTTATTAAAAAATAAATAACTCAGTCATACTACTCATTATTTTCTTCGATAGTTCTTATTTAGTTAGAAAATAAATAACGCAATAGCACTATTTTTAATTTGGTCAATGAAGGTTCTATAGATATAAATTAAGAAGATCAATAATTTACTTATTAATATGATCGATAATTACTCAATTATCATCATATGAAACAGATAAGTCAAATTCCAATAGAAATTAAGTTTGAACACAAACACAAAGCTTGATTAGAACTAGAGCTTGGCTCTGGCTCAAATTTTACAAATAAGCTCAAGCTTGAACACAGTCCCAAAAGCTCAATATGAGCTCAGGCTCATTTAAAGCTTGAATTTTATAAACAAACTCAAGTTGGATCATAGTCGTGCTCAACTCGGCCCAATTTGTTTGCAGTCATACTAGGAATCAAGCAAGTCGGGTTGATAACATATCAAAATGGGTTGGATTAACCTATTTTTAAAAAAAAAGTTTAGGATGCAATTGTGAGGATTTGTATTCAAGCTTAAGTGGTCAACTTGACTTTAATATGTAGGATCTCTCAATTCATAGTCAGTTGGTCAGACAACGATCGTCACAACATGGTGATAAAATAAAAATATGTGCCAATTCATGTCAATATAGGACTGTCCTGATTTTGCTCATCTTATGCATTCAGGTTTGATTTCATACCATAATTAATTTATTTCAATAATTTTTTTGGTTCTCAATATTATTTTAAGAATTTTAAAGTCAATTTTAGTATTTTTAAAATCCAATAATATTAATTTTAGATAAAACTTCAATCATTATTGAAGAGATTTTACTTAGTTCACAACTCTGAAAAGAAATCCACTTTGGCATCGAGGGAGTCATCATGTCTTATAACTTTTTTTGATAATTTAATTTTACATCGCAATATTTTTTTGAAGAAGCTAAATGAATCTTTTCAGCCAACGAAAACCTTGATGTCCAAAATATGAGGCAATAATGCACCACACAATTCACTAGATCAAACATAAATCCCAATGCATTTCTTAAATTAAAATGTTTCAAAATTAAATTTAGGATCATTTAAAGTCTTGTTTGAATAAACTTATGTTTGAACTAAATGTCTCAATGAGATAAATCTAAGAGCACAAGAAGTGAGCTGATCTAAGCCTAAATAAGCTTAAATATGCGAGTGAAGTATGATTTTCAACTTAAAAACAAAAACTAAGAAGTTTATAATAAGTAAATAAAACAATTATCCTCATGATAATGGAGCAATTTTTTTAAAAATGTGAGCATACATTAAATTTTCATTATTAAAAACAAGAAATAATAAGAATTTATTAAGATGTATTTATTACATATGGAAATTCCCATACTTCTCTTAAAATTGCCCTTATATTAACTAATATATTTGATGTTGAGCTTAATATTCATTTTTAGAAGATTTATTTAAGCTATTTATTTTAAGACTCCACATATAAATAAGGAAAATAAGAGGGATTTACACACATAGCACTCAAAAGTCTCCTATTTATATATTTAGCACACAAACTTCACTATTTAATAAATATAACACTTATTTAATTTCCCTTCACAAATTTGCTTTTGGAAGAAAAGAGAGATAGATAAGTTGGGTTAGAGAGAGAAAGAGAGAAGAAGACGTGTTGGCTAGATGAAGAAAAGGAAGACAAGCGAGAGAGGCATGAAGGGGAAGAAAAAAGAAGAATAATGGTCAAGGGAAAAAAAATAGAGAGGAAAGGTGCCGAATAGAAGAAAAAAATAAAAGGATAGAGAAATGCATGTAGGGGAAGAAGAAAGACGGAAAGGAAAGAGAGGAAAGGAATAAGAAAGAGGAAGTAAAAGAGAAGAGGAAGTTTCATGGTAAATGTGTCTGTTTCCTTAAATCTATGTTGTGAATTTCTATGTGCAAGTAAAAACTATGTTGATACATCAAACTCACATAATGTTTAAACAATAGTATGACCACTACTAATTGTTAAATGAAATTGAAAATTCACAAACAACATTGAACAAGTGTATCATTTTAAACCTAAGTCTAACATTGATTTTATTCAATTTAGAGATCCATGAGAATTAGAGAGTTTAGCCTAGCATGGGTATACAGGAAAATAACACAAATATATATGTTACATGATACAAAAATGTGTTTATAAAGTGTAAATCAAGAATAGAATTTAAATTAAATGATAAAACCTGATGGTTGCATATGTGTCCAACCATTGGATTCTTTTCCTTGCTTCAACAACACAAGCAATGGCAACCTAAAAGTCTCATACAAAGGGTTCCTTACACTAAAGACTCGTTCACACTGAAAAACTCTTGCAAAATCATTCTCTAGGCTCTCCAACACTCCCTTTTAATAGTACACACACATATGACCCCTTCCAAAATTTTCAAATGATGTCATCAATAACTATCATGTCAGGTTCAAATTTGATGATGTGACACTGGGTGGCGGCGTGCGGCTCTAGGTTCCTGCCACTGCAGCTTGATCTTCTCTACATTTAGATTCATAAGGATGGTTGTTCATAATAGTGCAAAACTAAATGTGGTAGTGCTATGGCATTGGATATGTCTAATCCACTTGGTTTGACATGGCTTAGTACGACAACACAGTGTTGACTTTGAGCGGAAGCACTGGCACCCAACGCCTAAAAAATTGAGCCCTCGAGAAGATTTTCACCTTGGGATTATGGCCTTGACACTGCGATGCTAAATTAAACTTCACCAAATTTTCATGATTTTACCCTTAGGAGGAAATCTATTATGCAAAAATCAAAGAAAACATTAAATAAAAGCACTTATTTTTCATGATTTTCCTTATGTTTTTCTCACTTAACAAATGTTGAGATAGAGGGTTAAAAAGTTTAGTGTTATGCAAATAATTAATAAAGGTAAGGTGCTCAATATGTAACCATGAGAATTTTGAGTTTTATGCATGTAAACCACCTCAGGGTGTATTTGGAGGGTTTTTCGCCTGCTTTTCAGTTTGAAAACTTAGGGTTTAAGGTTCAGAATGTGGCTTCAGAATGGCGAAATTGGGAACACGTCCTTAACCTTCTGGTCAATAGTTATTATTTCATTTAGGGTACCAAAATATCAATGTATCCCTCTATAATTAGGGAAATGACTCGAGGAGTCCCCCATAATACCCATAATACCTATAATACCAATAACTCAAGTATCAATGTATCCCATATTATTTCGTTCAGGGTACCAAAGAAATCAATATATCATTTTGTACATTTAATGAACTTTAAATTTTATTTATAGTACAAAAACAAAAATATAATAAAAAATTAAATGGGAAACTAGATGAGTGATATTAACATCAAAATTTACTTTTTATTAACATTAATGATACAACAAGTAAACATGCTAGATGAATACATTAAAAATCTAATCCTATTTTAAATTGCTATTTCATAGTAAACTATTAAATAAATAGCATTTTAAATAAAATATTAATAATCTATTTCTATTATTTATCAGATATCAAAAACATTAGCAATTTTAACAAAAACTTATAAACATATTTATTATTATAAAAAAAAAAATTTATTTAAATTATGAACATCCTACATACAATAAACTCAACTTTATAGCTCAAAATTGTTAAACAAAATTAACAAATAGCAAAGATTAATATTTTTAAACTAAACTAGTATTCAAGCTTAACTAGAGCTCAATAACAAAATAAATGAACAGATTATGACCACAACACTAAATTCAGCCTTAATCTGCAAACCTATCTACATCCAATCAGCAGCAACAAAAAGGCGATCACTTTTAACTGAAAAAAACAGATCTGGGGGCAAAAGTAGATTACAAATTACTAACTTTCAATTTTAGTTAGCTATCACCAGAGCCAAATTCAAAGGACATATCAGAGTCATCTTCAATCAGGCAGCGCCTTATGGAATGAGGGCTGAGGCTTTTCGCTTTGGTTGAACGATGATGAGGGCTCTCCTTCCCATTCAATGGCGGCAGGTCTGAGCTCATGCTCTTCCTCTTCTTCAATGGCGGAGCGCTTTTAGAGGCGAGAGGCTGCTTGCTTCCAGGTTCAGGCAAACCTTGAAGGCAAGCCAAAAGACCTAATCTCCTTGAAGTCGGCATGCCTTTCATTATTCTTGTAAGAGATCGGTCAGTATTAATCACAGTATTCAGCTTAGACTGATTGCTGCTGGCTTTCAAACTCCCATGGTTTAGCGAGGTTATGCGGTTCTCCTTATCATCTTCTGAAATTTAATCAAGATGGAGAAGGTTAAACAAACAGAATTTAAAGCAACATTATATGGCAATTTGTATGGTGTTAGATATGTAAAGAGATAGGAATTGGGTGGTGTGTACGTAAATGCCCCAATGTGTAGGAAGAATTACATATGTTCCACTAAATTCATATGTATTTATGTATTTAAGAATACAATTCATTTTTTATCAATGCATTTAAAAGTTGAATAATGATATTGTTGATGTGAAATGAAAGATTTGGGCCTTGCAAATGTTAGAAAAAAACCAACTTTACGTGTTAGGTATGTAAATACATAAGAATTGTTTGGCATGCATGTAAATTTCCAAAAAAAACGTATATCCAGATTCCTAAACTATGAACTTGGATGATGAAAACCTACCCAAGGGTTCTGGCTTGAACACAAGACTGAGAAGTTGATCAGAGGCAGGTTGATTGGTAGTCTGAGTCACAGAACTACTAGGCAGAGAACTCGAGTCGCCATTTTTATTTCCTGAGTTGTTGGGCAGCCTCTGAGTTGCAGGATTGTCAGCTTGTGGCTCATCGATTGGAAAACCTGAAGAACTACTTGCATGGGGGCTGCAAACTTCATCTTTTTCGAGCATTTCTCGTGCAGCTTCCCTTGAGATGCTGCTACTTGTCTCTCTTGCAGAAGAAGTTTCATCATTATCCTCATGATCGAGCACGGACAACGGAGAGCCTTTCATATCCATGCCTGACCGACAAATCTTCTGAGACTCGACAAAACTTTTAAACCAGGGAGACGAGCCCTTCTTTATATAGAAGAGTATATAAGCTTCTTCCTCTAGAACTTGACTTTCTGATATGACATCCAACTGAATGTACATCAAAAGAACATAAACAGAATGTAATAAAGATCATGAATGAAAACATTGAAAGCACAAAGTTTAATTATTTCTTACCATTGAGTCGTTCATTTGATACCAAGTGGTAGGTGATGTGCGAATATTGGAGTAGTAATGCCCGTAATAACAGGAACCACTATGTACCACAATGCCATATAGCTCATATAATAATTGCTCCTGCAATTGAAGTATATTATATCAGTATTTTTTTTTTCTTGTTCTTTCTAAACATATCACAATTCTTATGTATTTACATATCTTTTCATGCATGGGTAAGATGGCATGAATGTAAAAATTGAAGTTTAGGTGTTTGGTATGTAAATACATTAAGAATTGAGTGATGTGCATGTATGAAAATCTTCCAAAAAAAAAAAAAGTTTACATTTTCTCGAGGAGAGCTTAGAAAAGGCATCAGATCTAACTCCAACGGATACTCCACGAATTCGCAGATTTTGCGAACCGAAGATTCAGTATTCATAAATCTCTTGAGATGCAGAGCAATGACATTTGGAGGTTGCTCAATTTTGAGCTGTTTCTCCATGGAAACTTGAGCCTTGCAACCTTCGCAGGTAATCTTAATAACAGGATCATCGATCATTTCTGCTTTGGTGAAAGATAGCAGAGCATCGGTGAGATTATCTACATCATCTATCTCTAGGCTGAGATCAACAATAGGTTCGTATGTATCAGAACAATGACCGCAGTCAAGGCACCGCAACTGAAACCAATCAGGAGCAAAAAATTCAGCAAAACAATCAATTGAAAACGGAGAAAAAGAAGAACAGATTATGATCAAAGGGAGTATATAATCTACTATACCTGGCTTCTGAGAAGACCTCTGAATACTTGATTGACAGGACTTTCTTTGCTCGATGATGGAGGATAGTCTTTGTGGATGGGTTTCAGATAGCTTGTGTGAATACTATCCAAAAAACAAGAGAGAAACTCATGAGCATCCTGCTGTTCCCCAAGCTGGAAATAAGATGAGATTTCTGATGGTTTATTGGGTCAAGAAATTGCATTTAGTAACCACTGATGCATCGAGCAGCATAAAAGGTCAATGTTCAAAAAACAGTTTTTTTTTAAAACAATACACCATTGTCCGGTTATGGCATTTAAAGAAAAAAAAATACTGGAATGAAATAGAGATGCTTAACTTCCAAACAATTTTCTCACTTTACAAAAAAGGGAAAATTTACAAAACAATGATTAGTGTTTATAGATGGAGCTATTGCTTTCTCATAGCTCATCATGCCACTGAGAACTTCTGAATCAGTCAACCACCTAGAATATCATGCTAATGAGGTGCAAAGCTAAAAAGCAGTCAATTTTACAAAAACTAAAAGGATAAAGATGTAATTCTTATAGCACTTGCATCGAAAATAATAGCAGCAGCATAAAAAGTTACATTTAAATAAACGGATTTACAAGCAAAACGGTAAAATCTGAAAACAATTATATATTTAACGCGTAAATTATCATATTTACTTATCTGACATTGAAATATTTTGTTAACAGAATAAAAATATCACTTTAGCAAAATCCAATTAAGTAAACTAACTCCAACAACTGCTCCCCACGTCTAACAGGGAGAGAAGGCGGTTGCTATAAACATGAGTAAGAACACTCTGCTATGAGATTTTGGAAGAGTGTTAATTTTTTTGTGTTAAAATAATTAGGTTTTATAAAGTAATTAGGATAATTTAGGTTATGTGATTCATAATGTGAACTGTGAATAGTATAAACACGGAATTCAGCAAAACAAGTGCACAAAAATTCATATTCAAGCATGCTATAACATAAATGAAATGTTTTATAAAGGATACTGCTTAAATTATACGCAAAACTTCTGGGAGTGACAACAAATCCTGATTTCGTTATGCTTTGATTAACATGCACCCGCAATGCACAAAAAGAACAAAAATCTCCATCTTTATCTGCGAGTTCAAACCAAAAAATAAACTATAAAAACAGAAAATTCCACAATAGTTAGCAGTAAACCCTAAAAAAAGGTAGAAATCAAGAAGTATCAAACCAGAACATGCGGGGCTGTGACTGTTGTCTCGCAACTTCTCAACCAGCGGAACTGTATGTGTGATGCATTGAAGCACGGCATTCATAAAACAAGTATTCCCCAGATTATTAAGCGCTGCCCCCTGCACAACAGACACGCAGGTACTAAAAAAGTTTTTTTTCCGCAAGATTAGAAGGCATAATCCTCTACCATATGCAGGAGATTAGGGATTCTTACAACTATATGTTGTGGAAATCTCGAGGCGGCAGGAGAAATAGTAGCGTTCTGCAAATTTTCCGTTTCCGGCCCCTGCAAAAACGAAGATACGAAAAAACATAAAAGATCAAAAATCTAGAACCGCAATAAATTTTCCAAGAAACCTGCACAATAGCCTCACAAAAACGCATACGATTTGCCGATAAGGCAGGGCGAGGATCGGGGCTTCCATGCTTGGCTGGGGTTCCGCCGATCCTCCGTATCTGAGATTGGTTGACGATAACGAGAGATAATTCGGAGAACGGCGGGTGTGGAAACGTGGAGTGGGAGATCGAACGACTAGGGTTCCGGTTTCGCCGACAGCATGAAATTTAGAAGGAGGCAGAATTCGCGGGTTTTTGAAAGAGATGACGCGCCATTGGGATTTATTTCGGAGCCAAAGTGGTCGCCTTCTTCGATCCCGCGGTTTCCAAATTTCGGACTTTTTTAAAAATTCAGATTTTCTAAAAAATTTTAGGGGGGGTTTGTAAAATCCGGTCAACCATGTTGAACCCTGGGCCGGTAAATTTTTCTAAATCAAATTTGTTGAACGAGAATGTTTCTTCAAACGAAATGTAAATCTTAAACTTTTATGAAGCGATCCTCCTCTCCTTCTTAATATAAACCCTACTTTTTAAAGACAGTGTTTGTTACATTTATGTTAATAAGTTGTTTGATGGATACGAGCTCACGACTAATTCAACAGATTTAAGGAAGAAGACTTCTCTTATCTCACAAGAGGGGGAGGTGACCGCTAAACTTTAAGAAGAGATTTAACTTGATTTAACTTAAATCATAACAAACATCTTTTTGGATTTGACACATCTTGGGGATGTTTGGTACGCTATTATTAATGAGATTTACGTGATGGATTAACGTAAATCCAACCAAATGTCATTTCTACATTTCATAAATTTGGCGTCAAGTTGAATCTTGTTTGTTTTTATTTTGGTTATTTCGTGACTTAAATCTGAATTTATTAAATCCAACTATTATATAAATTCAAAGGATTTAGCTTAAAAAGAAACAAAATGCAAAGATAAAGTCTTGCGTGCAACCAAACATCGCCCCCCGAACTTCATAAACCCGAATTCAAATAATTTACTAAATCATATTTAACTTAAATCTTTTGTGCAGCCAAACAGCTCCTTAGTAAAAACATATTTACACATCTAATACCCAATGTCTAAACGTCAGTTTTTATATTTTAATCACTCAAAATTTGCACATCATATCAAAAATATCACCATTTTAACTTCTAAGAAATGAAAGGTACCTTTTGCATGCATTTGCAAAGGGGTGTATATGTAAAAATTGAAGTTTAGATGTTAGATATGTAAATATAATGCAATTGCATGGTATCTATGTAATTCTTCCGCATGTAAATGCCATAAGATTAGATAATCCTAAATTAAGTTTTCCGTAGATTTCTTTAATTAGTTAAACATTGCTTTTTAATTAGTGAAGAACAGCTAAAATAGGAGACAAAAGTCCGGGAATCCACGAGAGGGGTTAGTTACACGAATTTTAAGGGCCACGTGGCAAGATTCTATTTAATACTTGAAAATGTTTGTTAAATTGTCAGATTCTGTATTATTCAACTCATTAATTACAAATTTGAAAATGTTTGTTAATTACAAGTTATTTCTTAACGGATAATTACTTAATTTAATGGCTCTGATTGACGCTAAAGCAGGCGGGTTCAAGATTACAAGCAATTCAAGCTAGCCCCACATTCAATCACTTATGGGGCATAATTCAAGTATGTATTATAAGGATAATTTTTAAGAAGGGAAATTTTATAAATTTAATTATTAAGGGAGTATTTTTACAAAAAAATTAAAATTAAAAGGTGTTTGTCGCTTACCCCAGGAGTCTGACCCAGCCAGCCTGACGGGCATGGCCGCATGGGCGAAGTAGTCAGCAAGGGGCCATTGAAAGCTCGTGCCCCCAATAGCTTCTCACTAGGGGAGTAAACGAGCTGACCACGAGCAAACTGAGATTCTGCTCATATTCGACTTGTCTGTATTAATGTTTGTTTGAAATCAACTCGTCTTTGAATTAGTCTCGTAATGAGTGCGTTCGTGTTTGGCTTAATATTGCTTGAAAGATGTAAGAAAATTTTTCTAACAGATGTGGGACTAAATCCTTTGGGCTGTTCTTATGTCGCATTCTCGCGTGACTCTTTTTCTCTCTTACTTCTAACACCTGGACAAATATAAACATGTTCGAGCGTTGGCTCCTTTTCCTTCTTTTTTTTTTTTTAATTTGCAAATACATACAACCAATCAATGGCTAGGTATTTACACAACTAACACCCAATTTTTATATCTTTTACGTTTATACCACCACTCAAGCATGTTTATGTTTGTGGAGGTGTTAGAAATATAAGTACATAAAAATTTGTTGGTTTGTCTGAGAGACAAGCCCGATGAATTGATCGTGAATGAAAGGGAAACAATAGAGATAGAATAGTAATGAACAATAAATTTGTGTAACCTTTACTTTATGAAAAGAACTCCCTATTTATAGGTAAGGGTTTGACAAATTTACACTCTGTATCCCTATTAACGTTGGGACGGTATGGGTATTTTAGATAGTGTATATTAATAAGGACAGGAGCTTGCAACTTGTGATAGCAGTCAGTTGGGTGCCTGACCCGGGCAAGCATTGTCGGTGGACAGGTTGACAAATACGAGCGGATCGCTTCATCCGTCTTATCTGTTTTGGAAAGTTCTGAGATAGAAGTCATGTGAAAAATTTGATCAGAATACCATTTGTATAAATTGTTGATTGTCGCTGGTTTTGGGTGCTAGATTTCATCGGGCAGGTATGTGTTGGGCAAATAAGTGCGGGCTCTCGAGTTACTCCTAATGGGCCCTAGCCTGTCACGTTGTATTATATGTCAACCGTTGGATTTTTTTTTAGATTCGTACTGACATATTTTTATGAACATATTAAGTTTATCGATTCTCTTACTCATTGATAGTGACATGTGTGATAAGAATCATAAAATCTTAAATTTCTAAAAGTTAATTGTGCTCATGATTATTAATTGCTCAATAATTGAGCTCCTTTTGAATTTTGTGTCAATATCTCTATAACTTAGGAGAAAGTAAAGGAAAAAACTTATCCTACCTTTGTATTTATTCTCACAAGAGTCATTTGATTTTCATTTCTTTTTATGACCAGCGATCAACCTCACAAATCAGTCAAATATGGCGAGGACGCTAAGCGGAAGGTCTTTCAAGCTTTGAAATGGAGCATCTTGCTTCATTCCAAGGTCGAGTAGTGCAAAAAGTTACATGTGAAAAGAACAAAACTTTCCAACCCACACGATCAGGTAGGGTTGTCTGATTCACTCTTGGATCATCATGACAAAAGGGGATAGACGATGGAGAGCGATCTTCAAGTGTAAGAGCGTTAGACGATGGACATAGTCCATGCAGAGGAAAGGCCGCCCAACTCGTCAGCTTTTGATCAGGGTTCGCCTCCACGATAAAAGGGTCGAGGTTAGCATCTACTATGGGGTTAGTGTTGTGGGAAGAAACTGAGTCAACTATCCAAGTGTCCACTCCCAATCTTCCTACGGCCAATGTGCATGGGATCAGTAATCCTCTCCTTGCGGCATAAAAGAGGATTGGTGAGGAAGGTTGTTCCTTCACCAAGTCGGATTTGGACAGGATGATGGTTATTGCTTAAGTAAGTTTGTTACAACTTCTTTTTATATATCCTTAAACCATGTGCCTCATCGCCTTTCTCATTGTGGCGGGTCCACCTTACAATGACGTGAATGTTACCTCGTATCCTATGGAGCGTCTCGTTGATCAGGCGAGGGCTGCTATTGATTGTGGAACTGTTGAGGGCGTCAGACACTCAGATGATCCATTAAGGAGCAATTTAGTCCACCTGGTGGAGGTTCAGACTGATATAACTGGCGTGCCATGACTGTCTGGTTCAATGGAGCATTAGTTCCATGAGGCAGGGGAGTCCTTGGTTCGATAAGCCAATCTTCCTCACCCTTACAAGGAGCGTCAATTAATTGAACAAACAAAGATGTCGAAGAGGTTGAGGCTGGAAAGGTTGGAGGAAGAGGTAGCCACCATCCGTGCTCAGCGAAGCTGTCCTTCAAGAGAAAGTCTCACCCCTTCAGATAGAGATGTCGGCGGTCTAGGAGGTGTTCTCAATCTATCTGGTTAAATCTGAAATAGATAGAGTAGATGCGTTTAGATTACAGGGTGAGTTAGTGTGAAAGCAGCTATCTCAGCTTGGTTATGTACTAGCCAAGGCAGCGACCGATAATTTCACCGGGTATTTCCTATAAGGTTAATGAATTATAGACGGCAGCAACAATGTAAAAATTTTGTCAAATGAAATAAAATATTAACTTTTTATATCTTATTATGTGTTTTTTACATGACTCCCTTTACGTGGTTTTATGTGGTGAATGATGTTGGTATCCCCACATAGTTTAAGCTTCTCCTAGGTGCTATAAATAAAGTTAGAGTTAAAAAGTCTCGCGATATCATTTATACTTTTCCCTTGTCTTATCTTATCTAACTATCATGGCTCCCAAGTATTCCTCTAAAATTTTTTGTGTTAACGCTACTGCAGAGAGGTTTATTGTGTCTGCAAGTCAAGTGAAGCGTGTCCAGAGGTCATAAGTATTCAAAAACAGTTTTTATACGGGCAGCGGAATGGTCAGGAGAGTGACACACAATTGCGGGGAATATTTGGTTTTTTTTACTTGGGTCGTTTTTAACCATTGTGGCGTCATCCTCACATGGAGTGACTTTGAATTGCATTGTTATTCTGATGATGTTCATTGTCTTCCTCCAGCGGCTGTACATCCCATGGTTGCTCATACTCTTATCTTATTTGTTCGGCTTATAGGTTGACAAAGATGGTATAAGGTCTTCGCATCCGACCCTAGATTCTAGCTCATTGCGGTTGAGAGAGAAGTGAAAGACAGACAGTCAAAATTCCTTATCGCTTCCAATAGAAAAAGAAAGGGGATCACAGTTTGCCTGGTAATGCATGAGGTGAGGAATCTGGAGACCCTATCGGAGTTTAGGAAGGTCTATGCAGATATGATCGAGGGTAATGAGTTGTCTCTACTCCGGTACTTAGAGGCGGTTGTGGTCAATAGGATCCTGTGTCCTGAGAAGTATGGTGACATGACTGTCTATTTGTGGGATAAATTCAGTGCCACTGAGGATGAGAGGAAGAAAGCTACGGATGCCATGGCGATTTAAAAAAAGCCAATGGCAAACGTTCCTCGGGAGATGACAGATCCTGTTCCTCGGTCGCAGTGGCCTTTGAGTATTTCTGACACTGATAAGAGACTTTCCTCTCTCTCTCTCTCTCTCTCTCTCTCTCTCTCACACACACACACACAGAGTAAAATTTTATTAACTGGCCATCCCTGAGTAGGCATCACAACTTATGGGTTATGCTAAGGTATTTTGCTCAATCAAGTCCCTTAGCCCACAAGGCTCAAGCCCTGAGGGAGGAGCGTCTCTGGTCGGAGGGTCGGAGGGATATAAGTAGCTTGGTGTCCCTTTTTCTTGACCCTCATGAGAGGCCCACAACACTCCAGTCAACTTTTGTCAAGGTGAAAACTGATTCAGAAGACAAGGAGATTCTCGAGGTTGAATCT